CCAGTACCAGTTTGAACATCCCCATGGCAGGCCTCAGGGACTGTTTGAGAGAATACGAGGTGGTAGGCCAGGATTCAATGAACTGGAAGATTATGGAGAGGGACCAAGATACCCTGAACTTGAATCCAATTTTCCACAGGAGGGTTTCCCCTTAAGGCTAGATTACGTACCTTCAAATTCTTCCAGGGAAGTGAGACATGGATCTGATCAGCTGAACCCTGCAGGCAATGGCCCAATGGGAATGATGTTAAGAAGGCAAAACATAGGACAGAAATTCATTTGCCAGACATCTCCTACACAGAAGCAAAGCCTGGAACAACGCCTGTTTTTACAAGACAAAGAAGAGGACCCAGATCAAGACAAGAATACCCAGGAAAACAGAACAGGGTTACGTGACTGGAGGATTTCCTCATACCTTAGTGCATACCAGTCTGAACCAGAAGAAGGTCTCCCAATGCCCATGGAATCGGAGGCATACAATGATGTTCTTGGGGATACCCTCACAAAGCACTCCAGTGACCTCATCCCAGTGTTCAAACCCCCTATGTCATTCAATAACAAGTCACTAGGAATTGAAAGTGCCAAGGAGTTTGCAGATCCTGAGAGAGCAGGTGAAGAAACCTCTATAATGAAACAGGATGCCTTTAGGTCCAGAATAAATCCCTTGATCCAGAGGAGCTCAAGACTCAGGTCCTCTCTGATTTTTAGTGCTGCCAAGTTGGATCAGCCAAACACAACAATAGAAAAGGTTCATATGATCCAAAAGGAACAAATGTCCAGTGAGTTGACAAAAGACAATGAAACTATAAAGACAGCTGCCTCATCCAAAGTGGCAGAACTCTTAGAGAAGTACAAAGCTGTGGGCAAAGACACAGAGCGAGCGACAGTCAGTCACACCAAAGCTATTTCCAGTTTTCTCCAGGAAGAATCACAGAACACAGAGAAGAAATGTACCAAATCTGTGCAATATAAGATTCTAGAGAGTAGGGTACTAGACTCCAAAGACTCCTGCAGTACTTACAAAGTACATGGAGAGCCTGACAGACCATTTGGAATGGCTTCATCAACCCTCCAGCTTACTGACCCATTGAGTAAAGACCCCCTAGCCCATATTAGCACTAAAGTAGACAAATTATCATCTCGGTTTTACCCTATAGAGAATAAACCTACTCTTCCAGAGAAGGAGAGTCTCATATTTGTAGGGGACACTCAGAAACTGAATCTTCCAGAGAAGAAGGAAAGAGAGAAATTCAAAGAAGACACTCAAAAATCAGCTAATACAGAACTCAAGAAACCACAGATTAGGACAAGTACCACATCAGTTCTTGAAAACTTATCTAAAAGACAAGGATCAGACAGCTCTCTCAATAAGTCTGAGGAAGAATGTTCAAAACAGGAACAGAATCCAATGGAATTTTTCAGAAAAGGGTCATTACGGCTGAAGCAGCTTTTGAACCCAAAAGGTGAAAAGAAATTGGAGGAGGAACCCATTTCTGAGAGTGGAAAATCTGACAAACAGCCTGTGGTTCTCAAACGATCTTCCATAGGGGACTGTCAGGAAACGATGGAGGAAGAAAAAACCCATAAATTTGCAACACCACTTCCTCCCAAAAGCAGCCAGCCAACTCAGGGGAGATTTCCTTCATCCACAGCTAACATCCTGTACAGCAGCAACCTCCGTGATGATACCAAGGTGATCCTGGAACAAATTTCTGCAAACAGTCAGAAGAACAGAGCTGAACTGGCCAAGCAACTACCATCCACTAGCAATCCTGATCTTTCTAAGTCAACTACAAGCTTGGAAAGGAAAGGTGAGAAGGAGAAAAGCTGTAACATCCACAGATCTGAGAGTTTTGGGAGCCAGAAACGAACTCTTCAGCGGCAACCATCAGAGGATCGAGACACCCTTCTGAAAAAAATGGAGAATATGCGGAAGGAAAAGCGAGTCTACAGTAGATTTGAGGTCTTCTGCAAAAAGGATGATCATACAAGTCAGAGTGAAGAGGAATACGACACGGATGCCAAAGACAAGAAGATGGGAAAATTCATGCCCAAAATCCTGGGGACCTTCAAGGTCAAAAAATGATCATAGAAATACTATTTAATTCCATATAATCACTGACTGTCAAAAGAGAATGAGGAGGTAAAACGTTTATGATGTATATAAGCACCATAGGCGATACTCTCCGAGTTACTGAGTGGAAATACGTTCATCATTAGCTTCCTGTGGAACAATTTGCCAAAGTCATGTGGTATCTGGCAATCTCATTGCAGTATGTTTCAAATAAAAATATTAAATTGCCAAAATGCTTAAAAGAAGTAGAGTAGAGTCTCTTTATCTTCTGCTCAGGGAACGTTTTCAGCTGACAACACAGTTCCACTATCAGTAGGGACAGAAGTGAAAACAGAAAATTCAGTACTTGGGTTTGAGCCAGGAAAAAAATAAAAATAGTTGTAGATACAGATATATTAATTGCAAAAGTGTTTTGTTTTGTTTTGTTTTTAAAAACAACAACTGTTTCTCAGGTGCAAACAATTTTTCTTCATATCTAGTACCAGAAGGCACATCTTTGAAAGCATGCAGGAGAAAAAAACATTGCTCAGAAAGAAGTGCTTTTTCCTTATCTATGGTTATGGCCTTGTCCATTAATAATGCCCAGCTTTCATATTTATAATTTTATAAATCTATTGGGTATGCTTTGTTACTGTTTTGTTTCCTTATTTATGATCAGAAGTACTATTACTTTAGAGGGTGAGCTGAGAGAAGCAGCGGGAAGGCCATAAAAGAGGAAATTTACATGCTATGCAGGGAGAAAGATGTATATCTAGGTCTGCACTTCAGCTAAGCTGAGTTAGTATGGAGTTTATTTAAGCCTATATACTGCTGTCTTGGACAGGCAGCAACTTACTTGATGATGAAAGTCCGCTATGAGTTTTTTTTGGTTGGTTGGTTGGTTGGTTTTTTTTGCTGGTGTTCTAGGACAGTAACCAAGTAGTTATGAATATTGTGATGTATTAAACAAACACAGTAATTTACTATAGTGCTGAAAAAGACTCAGTTTTCACACACACACCCCTCATGACATGAAGAGCTCAAAAGTGATCTGAATTCTCCTTATGAAATTGAGCCCATGTTCATGAAAAAGAAGTTGATACCACAAAGGACAGACCAGTAAATACGCAGCTTAAGGAGGCAGGACCAGAAGTGAGTGGGCACAGATTTACTAGCATATGTGTACTTTCTTTGTCTCTGATTCCAATCAATTTTAACACTTGAAAAGAGAAACTCATCTCACTGAAATGTAGCAATATCTTCCATTAAAAAAAAACAGAGGAGAATTAGAGTTTGTATATCCAGTTCTACACCATTAAAATTATTTTCTGCATTCATAAACAAATTAGATTTACTAACAGCACTGCAGACATCTCAGTAAGGATCGTGTCCACACTGTATCTCCAGAAAGCTTATACGCAAGCAAAATTCAAACAGTGAAAGCACAAAAATGATATCAGATATATACAGGCCAGATCTTCAGATGATGTACGCTGATATCCTTTCAGGCATTTCAGCAGTACCACTCGAAGCTGAGTAACACCATTTCAGGATACCACTCATGGTCTGTTAAACACACAAATTTATATATGAATGCTGTATGCATCCTTATTTCCTTTGCTCTTAGCAAAGTACTGAATCAGATAGCATTATAAGTCCCAAAATGAAGTGTAATAATCAAAACAGTGTTCACTGTTAGATGATACAGATAAAGCTGATCCTATGCTAGAGAGGAAGATGGGCTCGCTCTCTCTCTCTATAGGTATATATACATACACATACATATAAGGTCCTGAGAACCCTTCTTGCCTTATTTTCCTGTAATTTATATTCACATCATTCATTATGCCCCCAGCCTTCCAGAATCATTCTGTAGCAGACGTGCTGGAAATTTAATTGTTTCTATAGTCACGGATTACATTAGCATTTTAGAATTTTGCTCTATTTGTTTAGACTTTTATCTTGCTCAGCATAGTGTGTTCAGTGTAAAAGTGTGTTCCTGACTAGAACTAGAATGACTCATCTATTTAGTGGGATTTTGCTTACCAGATGTTGTCGGTGCATACAGATATTGTAGAATAACTAATTCACTTATAGTAATAACAAAAGCCATTTTAAGAATAAAAAATTAGTGTTACAGCCCATCACTTCTCAGTCTGAGATTAGGTTCAAAGAAGATCTTAGACCTTGCATTGCATCATCAAACTGCTAGACACTACGCATTTAGTGGAAGTCGCAGCCCTAAATTAAGCAGTTAGGCTCCCTTTTCAGCGAATAAGAACTGACACCTTAGACTCACAAGAGCCGACAGACTGCAGAGGGAGTTGCCTACGCAGCATGTTCACTCAAGTCATTGGTATTTCCTACATCTATCTAGACTTATACCTGACATGGACAGGAAATGCCTGCTTTATGAATAGGCCAGAGTAAACCAGGACCTTCATGTGAAGTACATTCCTAGGTCCCTAGTATTACCAGACCTAGGTGACTACACCTGGTGCCAGAAGCGAATGCTGCCACTACTTACTTCACTAGTCTTTAGGTACGAAAAAATAGAATGGAAATTACATCAATGGCAGTGGTACTCACATGTTCAAGTTCAGTGCCTGAATCTCCTGTGTAAATATAGTTCCAAAGTTCAGCAACAGCAATCATTATGATAGGTGAAGTAAAATTTCAGGGACAGAGACTCCTTATAAGAGTTTTGGAGTTAAAAAGGAGAATCTATCAAAAATTAGCATTAAAGCAGGAAAATAGTTTTGAATTTTACTGTAGTCCCACTGTTACCTGAAAACAACTTCACAATGTTTCAGCAACAGAATCGCTTGGAACATTGTTTCTGAAAGGAAAAAAAATTATCGTATTATTAATTGAACAAGATATCCCTTGAATTTTTCTCCCATTCACACACAGCAAACATTTAATAAAAGACAAGGATTTTCCACAGTGCAATATAGAGTTTATTATTACAATACTTAAAAAATACATTCATACATGGTAGGTAAAGTGTTAAATAGTGTAGTAGAACCCACCCATTACTTACAATGCTTTTTTTACTTGATTTTAATGAAGATAAGCCCCCATCAATTCTATTAATTTACCCCAAAAGAGTCATACAGAAGTTAGTGGAAAATAAAGTGAAGAGCTTTAAGATTATCTGTGAAGAGTTTAGCCTTTCTGGTCTTCAGAGAACAGTTTATCAGTTACCTTTTCTGCTCAAAAAAAAAAAAAAAAAAAAAAAAGATTCAGGCAGTGTACCTTAAGCTTGTAAAGAAGTCTGAATATGTCTAAAGACAGTCAAACATCAGAATATTGCAGCTATAATTTTTTGCAATAATACAAATGAGGAATACGAACTGAGAGTATTCACTGTTCCCATGGGGTGTTAGCAAACAGTGCTGTGCCCATGTCTGGGAAGACTGGGAGGCGAAGGGATCAGACTGTCTTCTCTGTTGCTTCGCTCAGAGGAAAGTGATACACTGTTCCATGCGATGAATAAAGTGAAGTAAATAAAAATCTCTTCAGCTGGGGTAACTGTCAAATGCCTCTTATATTTTACTTTTATTTGCTGTTACCAGCAGAGCTAGGGGACTGATGAGACGAGCTGTACTTCACTTGGTTAGAGCTTTTACAGATTCACTATTCAGGCTGCTGCGAGGAATTTGATATAGGAAGACTTTGCAATGCAGATTTACATATGGTTCCATAGGCCTGAGAGTAACTGCCCATTGATGCTTTCGGGTCACCAGCAGCTCCCATATTTGCAGTAATCTGGAACATCTTTTTACTGGACTTCAGAAGGGGACGAATATCTTTGCTGTGAAACTGAGCATTTCTTGGATTCTGTACGAGAAAAAAGCCAAGACAGTTCAGGAACTCTTAACAGCTTTCTAAAATACTGATAAGGAACACAGAATTTGCTTGAGCTGAGGGGTAGGACAGATCATGAATATTAAATAAATTAAAAAAAAACTAGACTGTTCTGTAGGATCAAGAGTAGGGTGGTGAGAATGAGGTGAGGGAAAAGGGCTTTAGAATGAGTATATTGAAAATGAGATTAGGGGCACTGGGGCAAGATATGAGAAATTAATCCTACACTGAAGCAAAGATCCAATGGCCTATTTGGCTAGTATCTTGTTTTCAACAGTTGTGAATGTGTTAAATGTACAAAAGAGAGGTCGTCATCATCATTGCCCAGTATACTCCCCTGGCTTCTGCCAATCTAATGGGATGATGACTTTCCAAATTGGAACCTGCATACAGATACTGTGTTTAACAGCCCCACTGGGGACAAGTTAATAATATATTAAGTAGATGAGAGCAGACTGGAACCTGCAGTTCAAAAGGAAAGGTGCTTCACTGCAGCTTCTACTTTGTGAGCCTCTATTAGTTAACTGAAAGGCAAGAGATTCTACTCATTACTGTGGCACTGGCTGCTGTCACCCTAACGATTATAGGAAAGTCTTTCCTGGCCAAATGGCTGTGAATAACAGCTTCATGAGCCTGAATGGATAGTCAAAACGCAGACTAAATGCTGAGCAAGCTGCAATCGAAGGACCTTTCAGCTCCTGCTGAGGCAGAATGAGAAAGATAGACAAGTCAAGGTTCACTTAACATAAGATCAGCTACACTGCTGATAACCATTTACCACAATATCCTGTCTCTGACATTGGTCAGTATTAGCCTCTCAGGAAACAAATCTAAAGCACAGGCCACGTGTAAAGCTATCCTCTCCCTATTATGCTCTTTTAGTAAAGGAAAGTTGATTATAAGTACCTGGAGAGTCTTGAAGATGCATTGTTCATATATGCAGCTGCACATGCAGCTGCTAGTCCAAGGAAAGAGTATCTCACAGCCCCTTCAGCATTCCATGCTACAGTTGTGGAATAAATGGTTCCTCTCATTTTCAAAACATTTCTAACGGGATTCCAAGGCAGAAGGGAAAACAGATGGATTGCAGATGTGCATGGGGACATACTTTGAAGAATTTTCAGTTACTGGTAATCATCTCTCCTTTTACGAACTATTCGTATGTATATTCACATCAATTACAACAGAAAGAAGAGATTTAGTAGGAACAGGCTTGACCCTTAAGAAAAAGCATCTGCAACTAGACTGAAATGGTTCAGATCATCCAGAGCCGTGTTCAGGGAAATAATCTGCTTTAAGGTAGATGTGCTATTGCACACTGACCTAAAGCATGAGATTCCACCCGACTCTTGTTTGGTAGTGATATCTGTTAGAATTTTTATGGGAGGTCCCTTGATACAATGATGCTCAGCATACATTTTGAATGGTTTGGAGCCTGAGCACACAAACATTCAAGGATTCTTTTGTGGGGATCTCAAAGTCCCATGACAAATGGCAAGCAATTTTTACTGTGACAAAGAAGGGAATTCTTGGTGTCTCCTTCATCTTCTTCCTCTACCAAAAGCTCCCCCTGATTACCCTGCGTTGGGTAGACTCGCTTTGAGCGAGTTAGCAGACAACTAGCCCAGAGGGGAAAAAAAGGGGGGGGGGAGGCAAGGAAGTCACTGAAGACCCCAATGAGTGCAAGAACTTGCACAAGGAAGGGTGGCCAGGAAGAGCGAAGAGGGAGGAGCAGAGAGGACACAAATTAAAACTCCACTGTTCAGCATCAGCAATCCATTAGGTTGGTTCCAGAGGTAGCATGAATTCTGCAGCTAAGCCTAGAATGAGCCAACAGTCTGAAACTGGTTAAAAAATAATTTGCTACCTACAAACTTTGGACAAGACATGTCATCATTGGAGAGAAATTAAAAGCAACTGATTTGTAATTCTGAAAGTCAAAGGGAGTCTTTGGAGCTGCCAATAATCTGAACAGTGCAATCATTTGAAATGGTGTTTGAGTTCTCACTTGTCCAAAGTGATAAAATTGAAGGTGGAATGAAGCTGAAAATTGACCTGTCCTCTAGAAAAACAGCAGAGAGTCCTATATCTCAGCACATTTCAAAAGAAGCTGTATTAAAAACTCGACATAGGAAAAAAGCTTAGGCAGAATAACTGCAGAGACGTTTTTATTTTTCTTTCTGATTGCACTCAGCTAATATATATGATCCATTGCAGCTAACCTTTGTGAAAAAATAATACTAATGAGGTAGAGGCCTAGATTTACAAAAGGCCTGTGTTACTACCTGTTCTTTAAAGCACCTCACTCCAGTATCTAAGTTCCAAAGTCATTCGTGGAACTCCTGCATAAACCTATAGGCACCAAAATACCCTTGCTGCTCAAATCACGAGTGGTAGAGTTTTTTGAAATACTAGGGTTAGAATCAAAAATCCAGGAGAAAGTTCATGTTTATGAACCCAGACTAGCTGAAGATGAGCATTAGGTATGTCAGAGACATGAGGTGTAAGCCACATCTGTGTCCTTGGCATTTTCTGGAGATTAGTTTAGACGGTCCTCCTCTCAACACTCTGCCTCATGCACAGAACTTAATTCAGAGTTGTGAATTGCATTAGCTGACAAAACATCTGAAATGTAGGAAATGTATCAAACACTGAAATATGCAAGTTCCTACATGAATCTACCCCATACTAGGGGCAAGTTATGGCCAGTTCTTTCCCTTGCTAGCAGAAACTCTACAGTTTGCACACTCTTCAGCTCTCTCAGAAAGGGAATACATTCTGTGCAAGCCCAACTGCCTTATCAAAGTACTATCTGACTGACACTACCTTTAGGCAATGCAATCACAGTATGGTATCTTTGGCATTAGTAACTTTAACTGATAGAGATTTAGCAGTTTAGTCACTCTCAGAACAATATGAGCTGCCTTTCACGTAAGTATCTTTACCAAGTAGCAAGTTAAAGTATTTTTTATCTCATCTTGATCCCTGAAAAGGTAAGGCTTTTTTTTTTTTTTTTGTAGGACTGCTACTCACATTATAAAGATTCTGTATAATAGGAGGTGGTCGAGCATTTGCATGTGTCCATGTGATTTGTCTACCCAGTTTCTGATTGTTGGAGGTTCTCTCCTGCTGAGAAGGTGAATGCTTCCTGACCACAGCACCAGAATTTCCATTACCTGTAGGAGAAATAACACGTAAAGAAGAGATAGGAGGAAAATCATGAGGACACAAAACACAGATTATACTGACTGAGGCAACGACAGAACATAAAAACTGAGCCAGCCCCTGCCACCTTGCTTCCTCTCACAGACTTGGACCACCTATAATAGGAAAAAATACTTAAGAATCAAATTAGAAAGCAGAAACAAACAAAACTAGTTAAAAGGGATATGGGAAAAGATAACAGCAACAGAAGAACAAACAAAGAGAAAAGAGAAAGGAACAGAGTCAAAACTGAAGCAGCAAAGAAATAACAGCAAAGAAATAAAGAGGATGTCATATACACAAAACTCATTCAATAGTGTCTTATTCTTCAAGTCATTTTCCTTCCACTCTTTCACTGTCTCATCCTGCCATGTAAACTCCCCTTATTGTTCCATCTCCTTCCTCCTTTCTTCTCCTGCAATAATGCCTCATGGTGGATTACATCCCAGTATAGGAGGGTTGTACCTACTTTGAACAGCAGTGTGTGTTATGGGATTGTATATCACATTGATCTTTGATCTCTGACAAAAAGTTCTTGCTAAATCTTCACTCTGGTTGGATACTTCTGGCTGGATGCTAGTTGTAGTTCCAGCATGCATATGTGAATTTTTTAGAAGAGGAGATCTTGGTTCTCTCTGATCTTTCCTGGTAGGTAAAGTCACAGAACTGGAACGGGGAAGAAGTGGCCTCGATAGAGATTGACTTTGCTGAACGTTTTCTTTTGGTACTAGCTCCTTTAGATGGCTATTTACCTTCTTTTCAAGGATCATCTGCAGGAAGGAAAAGTTGATTAGACTTCAAACAGCTACAAGCAGAGCAGAGGAATAAAACAAAAACAAAGAGAAATATTTGCAAATAACTAATTTCACAGGATAGGTAACAATTACAAATTTAGAATTAATGTAGAGTCAGAAAGAAGACAGAAATAAAATTCTCAGTGGAAAGAAAGAACAGGCTAAAGAATTAAGAAAAAGGAGTACTTGGGTGTATAGGCAATGCCAATACATCCTGAGGGAGAACACCACTACATAAAATAGGCAATAGCCTTGGAAAAGACAAAAATCTGTATGCTAAAAGGTTAGCACAATGTTGTTTCTTACCATCCCTTTCTAGAATTCTGCCAAGTCTATTTCTAGATAACATTCAAGATAACATTCATTTCAATCACTCCATAATCTTTTCTCACCTACCTATACATGGCAATTATCTAGCATCAGAATCCTTGGCAAGCTTTTCAGGTTTTGGTGCAACCTGCTCTCACTTTCCTCTAATCACAGTCCTCTCCAGTTTGACACACTTATTCGACACATCACTTATTCAAAACTATTATTCAAAACGATTCGTTTCTTAGCCTTGTATCTAGGTTATCTGTGAGCAATCTATTGTCCTTTATATCTTTTCTACCTGTGCTCATTATCTGTCTACTTTACTCAGTTATCTGCTCAGGACTCCCAAAACCCTTTCACATTAAGTTTATTATAGTCCTGCTTTACTTAAAAGAAATTTTATAAATAGCTCCAACTTTTTTTAATTTAACTTTTTCTTTTTTTTTTTTTATTTTAACTGCTATTAACAGAAGCAATAACATTGTTCCTCTCTCTCGGGGAAAGTGCACACATTTATCACTTCTCACTCTCGTATTTTCTGACTTCCAAGCATCCTTTTTGGTCTTCTCTTCCCACAACCAATCTTCTCAACTTCTTTTTAACTAGTTTCACTTTCCAGCCCCTGCTGATCTCACCATCTCCCAGCTCCTTTCCCTCATATTACAGCATTTATGTAATCTCATTCACCCAACACCCCCCCCTCGCAACAAAACCCCCCAGAAACAATTGCTCCCCCTGAAGGCTTGACTTACTTCCCTCTTTTCTGCTCTTCATGCTTCATTGTTAGAGCATTCAACTGAAGCTATTTTCTTACTACCGCATCAACACCATCATCCAAATCAGCCCAGTCTCCTGGGCAATTAGCTCTGACTTGTGTTTATCTTTGTTCTTTTCTCACCTCTGTAATCATTACTGAAATGTTAGCTTTAGTTGGTTCTGCTCTCTGCAGAAGTTCCTCTACTCTCTCTCACCTTTTCTTTCTCTGTTTTTTCAAGCAGATCTAATCTACTCATACTATTTCACTGATGACCTACCTCTCCAGTTCCACGTTTTTCTGTGTCAGTTTAAAATTAACATCAACATTTACTTTCTCACTCCATGATCCTTCTGCCTTGCCACCTGAAGTTTTCATTTTCCTTATTTTTTTTAAATTGGCTCTTTTCCCTATTACTTAAACTTACTAGGAAAGTTCAGCTTTTATTTTCCTTTTGATTTTATCCTATATATCAAACGGCATTTAAAATACTATCTTTCCTTTTTTCCTTTGCACAACTAAAAGTCTTACTTCAGCTTTTATTTCCTTGCTTGATTATTGTACCATTTCCAGTTTTTTCAAGTGCTACTATTTCCCTAC